GCAACAAATTACGGGGATTGGAGTCAGTTTAGAAGGAATGACACAAAAGTCTCTCTCTCTCTCTCTCTCTCTCTCTCTCTCTCCCTTTTTTGCGAGACGTTTCATCAAGCTGAGAAAGAGAGAGAAAGAAAGATGGGTTTCACTAATAAGAAGACGACATCGGAGAAGTCTCTTGCATGCAAGGGACGATTTTCAATACAATTCGTTAGGCTTTTAGTGATGGACCAAGCATAGTATTTCATAAGAAAATGTGAAATTAGTTGATTACAGATCTCTCAATCAGTGGACAGATTTGAGATATAAAAGTAAAAGAACTAAATCTATCTTACTGGGTGATAAAGAAATTATGAACAACTTAAAATAATAATCAAGAATGATTGAAACTATCACAAGTAATTCTTTATTTCGAGAAATTCAACCAGATTACAAAGCATATGAATGTTATTTATACTAGCAATTTAGCTAAAAAGATAACAATCTATGATAAGATATTTATGTAATAAACATGGAAAATATATCTTATATCTACCGAGAAGAGATGATGATTATTTCTAACTACCTAGAGTAACCAAATATGGGTGATGATGAATCACGACTTGCCATGTGTCAAGTCGTCCAGCTGTCTCTAGGTGTCATGTCCGGTCAACGTCCTCCATGTGCCAGTAGTTAGGCTTGAGTTGATCGAACAATGGATGATGACTTGTGTAATTCTTCAGTTGTTGGAAACCAGAGGGGTTATGGAAAAGGTCATATTCATCGGCCAGATGAACTCTTCAATAGTAGATGATCATCAGGTTAAGTATCCCCGATCTTCATTGCCTCTCTGAATTGTCTTCATGGTATCTCTGGTCTTCAACATTTAGAATTATTCTGCTCCGTTTTGGATATCCACCGGGTCTCCAGTCTTCAATAGTAGTACATTTTTCAATACTTTTACATATGAGAATTATGAGGTCTAACAAAATCCATCGGTGATTCATTGGTGATTGTCCGTCGGACAACCATTCATGGGTAATGCCTTCACCGACGGATTATCGACAAGCATATATCATAGAGAGGTGTAGTCACCGTGGGATCACCTATAGATACCAACTAATGGATCACAGAGGGATCAACGACAGTTGTTTCCATCATCACCAACGGCTTTTCGTTAGTGTTATGTCGGTGATTATTATTAATTTAAAAAATACAATATAACATGTATATTTTATTAAAAAAAACTTGTCCATATATCAAAAATACCAAATCCATACAATCATCAAAACGATTGAAAATCTAACTAGGGGGATTGAGGTAAGGGTTCAACTAAACTGCTGCATAAAACCGGTAAACTGTGCCGATAACAAGACCTGTTAAGCTAACTGGATAGCGTACTTGGGTTGTCGTGCCTCTAGTTCTACCAGTTCCTCTTGCAACTCGGGTACCTATACATATTCAATATTTGACAAAAATAAATAATTTGTTGCAATGAAAAGTAATGACATGAAACATAACAATATAAGAAACATACCTCCATGGAAGATTGATAAAGTGCACAATCTATCACATTTGATCACTTCTTATTTTAGTATTTCTCTTTATTTTAGTTTCTCAACAGCAAAAAATGAGTCTTTTATTCTATTTTTATCCTTTATCGAGTCTAAATCTAAGTAGGAGACATTGTCTTATTTTGAACTTTGTCGTGAAAGATTGATAATATTTTGGTGATGCAACAAGAATGTCGTAGCAAATGCAGCAATTAATGACTACGACTTCATAATATTTTTTAAAGAATCAAACCCTTTCGTGATGTCTACTTCAATGCGGTTTTGGAGGCATCTTTTGAAGAATACTGATAATGAAGTAGAGTCACAAGTGTTTGTTAAACCAATGAATCTTTTGCACTAACACATTTGACTTTTACGTATGACAGTCTTTGAATAATATCTCATGTGACTGTGTATTATTTACTTTGTTGTCAAGTGCTCCTTTCTTAGTATATATGGAGGAGTACTTCTTTACATTTTCCAAGCAAGACTAATAGATTATCTAGCTACTTAGTTATTGTTACCTTTCATATTTTGATATTAACTTTGAAGCTTACTTTATTGGACGGTGCTACAACATCCGTTTTACATTCTTACAACACTTTATTTTCTCGTCATTTATATTTATATACTTGCATTTTGTCTTTACATTTAATTCTTGTATTACTTTCAAGCTATGATAGGCTAAATACCCTAACTTGGGTATGAGGAAAGGTGTGGGAGATAAAGGGCTATGTGATAGTGGATAATTGCTTTCGTGGCTATCAACTCCACTATTCACTCACTGTTCTAAGTTTCATCCAAGTAATTCTTGATAAAGTGGCACATGTTGTTTGACTTGGATGACTTCAACTTAAATATAAGCCAATGTAAATTTTTAGATAAAAAGTTGCTTCAAACAAATTATATGGAAAGAATTGTAAGATATGTATTGCACTCAGACTTATATTCAATTGGGTGGTGCTAGCATTAAAGTCTAATATGGACCTCAAAAGTGGGCTGTTTAATCCAATAGTGGTGGTTGAGAACTGTTGTTGCAACACCCCACTTGGTCATGTTGTAGCAAGGTTCCCAACACATAGTTGCTAAACTACCTAAACTTGCACCCTTGCTTACTTTTGATCTGTTTTTAACATTTCAATTAGATGTTAACTCACTCAAGGTAATTACTTCGAATTCACCATCTGAAAATCAAGGGATGTATAAGGAAATGGGTTAGGCATATAGATTTATTCATCACTTGAACGATCATCACTGCCATCTTAGTCATAGATATTCATATTCTCTACAACAACCAAGACATCATCTTGTATGTTTTCCTCCCAAAATGGAAACTCGTTCAAATCTGGAGTCTTGTTTAAATCTGGAATAGCAAACCTACCATCTCGATTGTCATCCATAGGTTCGAAAACCTCAGCGGGTTTTGTTGAAAAATCAAAGTTTGGATGAGTTTGATACTCTTGTAGGAGCTTGTTAGTGGCATAGTGGCTTGAACAAAGTTTGTGTAGGGAAAGAAACTACCACTACCATTGGATTTCCACCATTACCTCCACATTACATAGTTTGATAAGCAGTAGCTGGAAAGAAAGTACCTGGTTGATTTCTGACACAATATGGATTTCCACCACTACCTTCATATTCTAGATGAAACTGTTGATATATAGTTTGATTTCCTAGTTGATTGATTATGGCATCAGATTGATCTCCACCATTACCACCACAATCGAAAACAAAAATTATCAATGTTGCGGTAGAATTTGATAAACCATTTTTTTAACCATCAGAACATCATCGTCATCAACAAACTCAAATACCTCACTACTCATTAAAGGATCTTTGTAAAATAATCTAAACCCACTACTTAAGCCTAATTTTTTCATCACGAGTTTAATCAATGCAAAATATGTTATGGGTGAAGGTAAAAGTAATATACGTTTTCACGCTCCTAATGGCGTAGACTCGGTAACACCGTTAACCGTTTGTAACGAACCGCCACTCTGAAGATATACGCTAACATTATCACTAGGACATAATTCATATTTGTTTGAGATAGTGTTGTCGATAGATGAATGTGTTTGATTTAGAAAACCATATATTATATACAAAAAAAAAACAAATTCATCAACGAAGAATTAAGGATGGAGAAAATGCTTAACAATTTTCAAGCAAATTACAACCTTTTCACATGTGGGGCCCATTTTTTTAGTATTTTTGCCAACGTTGGAGGAATCCATGGAAAATTGGAGGAATGCATGGAAAAATACCAACTTTTTATGACATATGGGGTTGTCGTTGGCATTTAGCCAACGTTAAAGAAACACTTTAGCGAAAGTACAGGTCATGTGTGCAAATACTCCAAAAGTTGGTCACTTCTTTAAATACACCATTGTATTTTGGTCATTTGTACAATTTTCCCCATGCCAGGCGTGTTCCCATACCAGAATAAGAATTGGTAGAGTTAGTGAGCCGAACATGATGGTTAAGTTTGCACTCAAAAATTGGCTTGCCAAAAGTTGTCAGGCTACTTTTTGACTTTATCTTGTATTGTTCTTCAATCGGTTAGATGACAATCTTATCGGCGTTGGTGAATATCAGTTAGATGACAATCCTCTTGTGTTTATCTTATTCTCCGGTATAATATAAGGGTCGTTGTCACCTTCTCAATTTTTTTGTGATCACACTATGGATCTCATGTGGCTAACAACACCAATAATTTCCTTAATACACTATAAATATCAAATTTGTTTCTCATTATAAGAAGCATTAAAGCTCTTTAAATAATCAATCAAGTTCTTTAACAAGAAATTGAAGTTTTCATTGCGCTTCTTGTATATAAGAAATCCAAGGCCATAGGTTCCATTTAAAACTTAGCAAGTTTGGAAGTCTAGTTTTGACTTTTGAAGACCTTGAAGATGGTGTCAATCAAGATCTGTCAGTCTCTCTCTCTCCCTCTCTCGATCACAAATGTTTCCATATGAACATGATGCTTTTGGTATGACTTTCGATTAATTCTTTTTCGCCTGCAATTCAATGTCGCCTGAAAAGACACACATACCTCTGTTTTGTGCGAATTCTTCGTTATTCATGCCCGACTCGATCTCCATACATCCTCATTGGATTTACCGCTCTTTATAATATAACCAACTCAAATGCCGAAAGGGCAGTAATAGAGTCCAAACGAGGACCTAAAATCACGGGTGTTACATCACATCCAATAGACGCTAGCGACATGGACTATATCTAAAACACAATCAAAATAGAAAGTTAAGTTTTGTAATAAATGAACTGTAGGGACTAAGGTCACAAGATTTGTAAAATACAGGGACGATTGATGTAATTTAGTGTTAAAATAATTTGAGTTTTGAACGCAATCCCTCAATTCCATTTCCCGCCCATTGCACCCCAACTGCTTTGTAGTCGAATATAATCCCTAATTTCATCCTCAATTCATCATATCTGTTATCGAATCATCTCGACCTTCTACTTTTCCCTGCAATCAACAAACATCACATGGAGGACACACTCAAAGATCAAGCATCCGTCCATGGTAATCGATGTTACTCCTTTTGTTCTCTCATCTCTCATCCCACATAGGGATGCATAATCATGACGTACTAGTGTGTTCACGAATATTTTAGCTGTCTTGAAGAATGTAACCTTTTTTGTGTTGTTGCAGAGAGCAAAGGGGGGAAATCCGCTAAGCTTCTTAGGTATCCTCTCCGATCGGCCTCCAAGTCTAAGGAGGATAAGCTTCCTGCCTCTTCTCCATCGATTGCTTCTGCTTCCAGAAGGTTTTGATTTCAATTCCCTTCTCTGCGTATTTGATCTATTCGTTATATGTGCATCAATATGTGACATGGGTAAAAACCTTCAGTAAAAGTTTTAATTCTCACCCGTTTCAGATAAAGAAATGTAAAATTATCTTCTATTATCGACTTTTGAGAAGATCTTTGATCTCTCTTATGTTGATGAGTTGGAATTGTATCTTGTTGGGTTACTGATATGCACATTAGTTTGATCTAAAGTGTTTCATATGTTCTAGATCTCATTCCGGAATAAATAAGGGGGCGATTGGTTTGATGGAATGGTTTCGAGGGATTTGGATTTTGTAAAAGTATTTGGAATATCTGGTTTGTTTGGTTTGTAGGATTTGGAATGAAACAAATTTACATTCTTTATTAATAATTTACAAAAACAAATTATAAATAATTTAATTAATTTTTATTAATTAATCATTACAAATACAAATGTTTTTAACCTATTTTAAAGCATTATTATTTATAAATCCTGTGAGATCTTGTGAAATACCAATTACCTCTGTGTGATTTCAAAATCCTATATTTATGAGATTTCAAATCCAATCCTATCGGGTAAACCAATCCTATATGTTTTAAGCAAAAGGGTACTGCCTTCATCTGTAAAAGGACGTGACCTAACAAGTTAGCCTTTAGTTTCATTATTTTGCTTGCATCATTTTGCTGGGAATTTAGTGGACGAGTTTATCTTACATTGTAAAGTACCATTGTTACCTTGTGTTTGTTGGATCCATTTAACAATTGGTGTGCCTCTGCTTTCAAAGTTTACTAGCTCAGATTTTGGTTCACTTTTTGTAGCAATGAACTTGCATTACTAATTTGTTTTAGACTCTAAATGTATAATAACGGATCTTTTGATTAATCGACACCAGAGTCTTCTATGGAGCTTTTGATTAATCAACACTAGAGTCTTTTATGTTGATCATGCTCAGTTAATTCTGTTTGCCCAAAATTGTGTAATAAATGTCACTTAACTAATAGTGGTTTACATTGCTTATATTTTCAGGGGAAAACCTACATCGAGTGTAAGTCAAAGTGTTAGTGTCCTTGATATGTCTGCCAAAGAGAAATCTGCTAAGCCTCCTAGGAGGCTGTCTATCCCCAACAAATCGACTCCAAGCCCTGCTCCTAAATCCACTGGATACTCCACCCCAATATCAGAGGCTAGAGCAAACCGGTCTGGCAATTTTAAGGGTAACAGTGGCACACCAGGTTCTGATGTTTCTAGATCATTGAGTCGAAGGAAGTTCACTGTTCTGTCCTCAGCTTCGTATTGGCTGTCTCATATTAAGTTATCTGAAGCTGCTGCAAAGCATCATCTCTCACTTGGGTTTTTTAAACTTGCTCTAGAGGCTGGGTGTGAGGTAACCCCCCAAATTGCAGTTGCTATATTGATGATGATTGTGGCATTGTCCTTCATTTTGTTGAAAAATTATCCTCTAGATGAAAATCTAAAATCTGGAAATGTGTTGCTCACTTTCACATATTTGTGGGAGATTGGTTCTTCTAAAGACAAGTGTCACGAATTTGTTCATGAAGCTTTATGTTGCCTTTTTTTTTTTCTGGTCAACATCTTTGGGTGTCAATAATTGTGTCTTTTAATGTGATTAGATTGTAGTGAAGTAATAGGTGCCTTTTAATTTAGCTACTATCTAACATTCAGTTTTTGTTTTTTGTTCTGTTAAAACCTTGTTTCTAGAATGTCCAGTTATTGAGAGATGAGCTCAAGTCCTATGCTGCCCGCCACAATCTTCTTGATCTTGGAGAATCTGCAAGAGAAGTGTTTCAGAGCTATGAGATTCCAGAAAGCATTGAGCAGTTCCAAGTCTCTGAAACCTGTTCCCAGGTGCCAGAAGAGGGAAGTAGGTCACTGGATGATGATGCACACAGCTTGTCTTCAGCTACTGGAGTTTCAAAACTAAAACCAAGATCCTTGAACAACACTGCCAGTTCTGCTGCCAAAGAATCAGCCAGAGAAACTGCTCAGAAGGGTAATCCTGTACCTAGAATCAAAGCTCCATTGAACAAGAAAATGGCCAACCAGAGCCCTGCTTTAGAAGCTGGGCATGGCAAGATGCCCAAGAATTCCAAGAAACAAAGCAAACAAGAATCCAACAAAGAGAAACACCAGGTCAAGACCGAGGGGATGGAACCTGCTGATGAAGAAGGTAATGAAATATTCGTGCAGATAGAGTTATTTGGTAATATCATCATAATGACAGTATTTTATTTGGCAGCTCAATTGAACACCTCTCTTGAGGAGGCAGTGACAGAAGAAAACAAAGAGAACGTGGTAAGAGATCTCTCATTCATTGTGTCAACTGAAATAAGAAATTAACTCGTATCCCTCCAAATTTATACTACCTTGATCCAAGATTAACTTAATAGTGTATTATGTGGTAGGATGCTCCTCCAACTGAAGAGATGAGCTTGGAAGCTTAAGAACGGTATGTTGGAACATATTTATACAGTTTTTGGCTTGTTTGGTCATGTCTTCAACGTTTTACTGGAGGCTTTTCCCTTGTATAGATAGAGAACAGCTGTGGTGTGCAAATTCGTAACTTTGAATTTCTGGTTTTTCTTTTTTTTTTTCTTTTTGTCTTTTGGTTGTTGGCTGAAGTTTTCATTCTGTTGTTGGATGATAAATTATTGGTGTGCTGCATTTGCTGGAACATACATGCTACTTTTCCTTTTCTGGGTTTCTTGGAAATTTATCTATTTCTGGCTTGAACCTGTTTTTGAAGTATATAATATTTACATACGAGTCAAATGCAAGAAATAAAGACCCCCTTTGATTGATGTTTATTCACTCTAGAGTCATAAACATTCCAATTTTTTCCAAGTTATATTCATCTATCAAAAGATTCATAAAAATAGCAAAGAGAGTAATGGCCAACTGATGAAGCCGTAAACAGACAATGACATTATATGGCTTAACAAATAATCCTTCACAAACAAACCTCTTAGTAAAAGGAATCTCAAGTATCAAAATCTATTATGAGTTTAGGAACCAAGTGTTTCTATAGTTGGCTCCTGAAACTAGGTAGATAAAGGATGGGCATTCACATAAACATAATCAATCAAAAGTATGTATGTATATGTATATATATGTGGGTTTTAGTCAAGTAGAAGGTGGGATTTGCCAATTTTGAGGAACTGGACCAAAATCATATATGACTTCTCTATGACAAGACCACACAAGTTTTATTGCTTCAGGAGTCCCTATTCCTGCTCCTCTTGGATCTCCAGCTGGTCCAAACCTGCAACACACATGTATTTATCACTTTAGATATACAAGTTTTTAACAAAGAAAAAGAAGGAAAAAGTAGCCTTTTCTTTCCACCCACCAATGATTCTGTGGCGCCCCTGTCGTTCTTGCTCTAAGTCCAACATAACTCGTTCCATTTACGCTTTTACCAACAATTTCCTGAAAGTTATAAACAGAAAACGGATACATACCCCTTACAAACCACACGTTACCAAAAAGAAATAAGAGCTTATTAATACCTGAATAAACAAAGGATCGTTAGAGACGACAGCAGCAGTTAAATGTGCATGCATCTTTTCAAGAACAGCCAACACAATCGGGAGTTGATTGTCTTTGTACTCGGTAATAATCTAGAAAAAAGAACACAAGTCATATATGATTATGAAACATACAAGAGAATGAAATCGGCATTCAATTGAACAAAATGGCATTTGCTGCTACCTGGAATGGCCCAAATATTTCTTTTGTAACAAGATCATAATATTCGGTCTTGATTATTTGTTCAAGTGGAACAAATACAGCTGTTGGCTTTATGGCACCGTATATTTTAGGAATAGAATGATTTTCCAACTCTTCCCCACCAAAAAGTAGCTTTGATCCTGGAATTTGAAGCAAATTGTTCTTGTGGTCTAGCATTGCTTCTGTTGTGTACTGCACAGATGGAACAATCAATTGAGGTTACATACAGCATACAATATATGAAAGTCATTATCTTAATCTCGGAACTTTTTTGTGGTTTTCATTTGATTAGTCCTCTATATATACATGTACTGATGTACATTCTTCCCGAAAGATTAGTTCACCTTTTGTACATTAGTTTCCCGAAAGACAATACTTGTTATTCATTGGAAATGAAGTAAAAAACTTACGGTAAGAACTGGGCCTATAGTCAAATTATCAAGCCTCCTCCTCCCGGCAAGGTCAGTCAATTGACGTAAGAGTGAGGTTTTGCTCCAGTTCTGCATATTATACAAAAAGAACAGAAAAAAGAACATTAACATTAAAAACAAGCATTAAAATGTATGATAATAACAACAAGAGCAGTAGCAAACCTCATGCATAAATAACAATGACTGTGCTGAGCATTTCTGACCACTACATGCATATGCATCTTGATCACATACCCATGAAACATAGTCCACCTGCCATTGATAATAACTCTGCATGTTAAAGATACAGGAAAAGTTCCAACTTTTGTAGTTCAATGTATAGGAAGAACAATGAACCTCATGAACATCAGGCCCAAGGATCTTCCAATCAAATCCTGCATCTTCTAATTTAACTTTCCCGTTCAGATCATCAGCCAACTTATTTGCTACCCTTGAGCTACCCGTAAAGAGTGTCATTCGTGGATTTGCCTGACCATGGATCAGAATAGTTTTTAATATTACAACCTGTTTAGTTCTAATTCTAAGGAAAAGATTAATTGGAAAAAGCTTTTTCTGCGCATTACAAATGAATGTTTCTATAAAACTTCCTCAAGTGGGTGTGTGCGTGTTTTATGTAAGTGATAAAAAAAAACCAACCTCTAACAGTAGTTTGTTCATTGTTTTCCCATCAGAATTGATGAAGTCAACATCCTCCACAGGCATCCCACAATCATGGAGCAACCGAAGCATTTGTTCCATAACAATGCATACCTATAATGAAGATGCAGACACTTGTTACATGAATCTTGATCTCTATAAGTAACCACCCACATCGTTAACACTCGTGCAGATGCAAATGGTAATGTAGAATTGTCCCAAAGATGTCTATAAATGAAGTGATGTTAAGAAAGAAAACAAAATCCAACATCCAACATGTAAACTCACTTTGCTATCAACTTTAAGGACAGGCTTGTTGCCCATGTAAAGTGCTCCCATCAACTGGAGTACAGGAATCTCTAGAGGGAAATTGAATGGTGTAATCAATGCCACCTATGTAGCATGTTCTAAACATATTATTATTAATGATTGATTAATGATAATTAATAATGAAATTGTCAATTAAAACAACCAGTGATATGAAGGTGTGTCTTACAGGGCCATAAGGCCAGCGGAACCCATGACTTTGTTGCCCAAGATGATTCCCAGGAACAGCAAAAGACCTCGCCAGAAAACGTACCTATCAGACATTTAAATTTTATAACGAGTAAAGATGATATGGGATTAACCAATTATAGATAAGCATTGTATTAACTATAATCCACCTGATCACTGGAAAAGTTCTCCAGAAACTTTTGTGCAACATAAACTTCACCAAAAGCCTGCTGGTAACTCTTTGGCGACACCCGTTGTATTAACTTGGTAAAGAAATCAGAAACCTGAAAAAGGGTAGAAAAAAGTAAAAATTTTGCAAATGTAGATAGCTTTCTTTTCTTGAATCTTATATAAGTGCAATATATACCTCAGGCAGGGAAAGCATATGGCCTGCTTTTGCAGATACATCTCCATATAAAAGGTACCTATATATAACAGTATTTGGTTTTATATATATATATATATATATATATATATGATGTATAGAACTTTCATATTGATTGATTATTGGCAAGACCTCTCTGGGGATTTGAATGGATTGTGCAGGCCATGTTTGGGGCACTTAGATAAGCTCTCCACAAAAGGCTGCATAACATGTCAAAAACATAATGAGTTGATAAACTTATAATTGGGAAGATGGTAATACAAATATACGATCGTACCTTGATTTCGCTTTCATCTACTTCTGAAACTTTAATGAATGATTCCCCGTTTACAGGATCTACAATCGTATTCCAGTTGCTGGATGTCATCCATTTTCCCTGGACTGGAAAATATCCATGATTGTTATTAAGCAATTAGATGCAAGTCAAATCATGCACTATACATGAACTCAAGTGCTTACCCAAGTTCTGTACTTGAGCAGGCTTAGAGCCTGATATCTCTTCTGCTTTAACAGTGGCAAATTGCAGTGAATGAATGAGTCTGCATAAGCAACATTTTCAACATCTGATCTGAGTCACTTAAATAAGCATCTTAGTATGATTAAATCACGATTATGAGAGAGAAGCCACCCAGATAATGATATCAGATAACATGCATATATCAAAAACCTTGAGAATGGTAATGAAGGAGGAACGATGTTGCTCCTGATTCTATTGCAAACTGGAAGCATAGACATTGTGATATTGATTTGTGTTGGAAATGAAATGGTGGGTGTGTTTTAAAATCATTGTTCGGAGAGTGAAAAGCGACTCTTTAGATGGTCAGCAGCTGCGTTTCTTACGATCACAACGGACACATGTCTGTTCTCTTGACCCAATCTTATTTTCACAATATCACCTTTTTCTTTCAGTGAGGTTGACATAACAGAAGGTATCTTGTAATTTTAATTTGAGTAGGCTACAATTTTGGTTCATGTGGTTTACTTGAATCTCTCAAACTCATCCCTAGACTATAATTATCGTCCCTATTCTTTATATTTTGCTTTGGTCGTTAACTCTGTTAGATTAGTCCGTTAAGTAAGGGGCATCTTGGTCTTTTTACCATTTTCCTTATTTTTTTTTTATTATTATACTATTAATTTAAATATTATTTTATATTATATACAAAATGTATATATCCAGGCCCGAACAACTTCAAACCTGGCTTACTCCGGTCACCATCTCCGACGACTTGACCTGCTCCAGTCGCCATCTCTGATGGCTTGAAACCATAAGGTTTTTCGGTCATCTTTTGCGACCTAAATTAACACCCAACCAAAATCAAACCTAAAACCATGTACAACCTAAATCAATTCTAAAATGAAATCCAAGCCCAAATACGAAACCAATTACAATCCTTTTCCTACCATAGAAGCAACAAATATGGAATTGCCTTTGCTTGACAATGTGATTGAGAAATGGAAAACTCAACCTAAATCACACCCAAAACCCAAACCTGAACCCAACCTAATTCCATTGTGTAAACCTCAAAAATCCACCATCTTGTGTAACAAACCTTTTGCAACCTAAAAAATCCAACAGAGTCAGAAATTAGGGATTGTGCTTTGAATTGGTCGACTGTGCTTTGAATCAGTGGCTTCAAACCTTTACCTGCAGAAAAAAGACAAATAAATAGCTAAAAGGACCAAGATGCCCTCTTATTTAACAAACTAATCTAATGAAGTTAGTGACCAAAGATGATTTTTAAAGCAAAATGTTAACAATAGGGATGATAATTGTAGTTATTGAAGTCTAGAGATCATTTTAAGAGATTCATATAAACCACAATGACCAAAATGTAGTTTACTCTTTGTGGTTTACACCCAAATGTAAAGGTTGTTCCTAGACTTCATTAAGTACAATTATATATGACTAGTGTTTGACAACATGCGTTGCATGGTGACAATAATCCTTTTTAAAATTATTGAAGTTAGCTAAATGAGTCGATAATTACATTTATATATTAAACTAATAAGAATCAATAAAACCTTTGATATATGAATCCACCTTATCATTATTGGTTGTTCTTTTAATATATCTATTTATATATAGATTATTTAAATTACAAAAATGAAATCTTTTAACGATTAATGCGGTTGAAAATATTTTAAAATAAMTAGAATTTGAA